GAACAACGAAGGGAAGGACAATAATCGTGTGTTTTCTTGTTCTTCTTTCGTTTTCTTGTTATCATTGTTTCTTGATTCTTTCGTTATTGTTATCTTGTTTTCTTGTTCTTCTTTCGTTATTCTTGTTATCATTGTTTTTCTTGTTTTTCCTTTCCTTATTCTTGTTATCATTGTTTTCTTGTTCTTCCTTTCCTTTCCTTATTCTTGTTTATCATTGTTTTCTTGTTCTCCTTTCGTTATTCTTGTTATATTGTTTTTCTTGTTCTTCTTTCGTTATTCTTGTTATCATTGTTTTCTTGTTCTTCCTTTCGTTATTTTGTTATCATTGTTTTTCTTGTTCTTCTTTCGTTATTTTGTTATCATTGTTTTCTTGTTCTTCCTTTTTCTTGTTATCCATTGTTTTCTTGTTATCATTCTTTTCTTGTTCTTTCTTGTATTCTTGTTATCATTGTTTTCTTGTTCTTCCTTTCGTTATTCTTGTTATCATTGTTTTCTTGTTCTTCCTTTCTCGTATTTTGTATCATTTGTTTTTTCTTCCGTTGTTCTTTTTTTTCTTGCCTTTCGTTATTCTTGTTGTCATTGTTTTCTGCCTTGTTCTTATCCTTTCGTTTATTATTCTTGTTTCATGTTTTCTTGTTTCTTCCTTTCGTTATTTCTTGTTATCATTGTTTTTCTCTTGTTTCTTCCTTTCGTTTATTCCTTGTTATCTTGTTTTCCTTCGTTATTTCTTGTTATCATTGTTTCTCTTGGTTCTTCTTTCGTTATTCTTGTTATCGTTGTTTTTGTTTTTTCCTTTCGTTATCTTGTTATCATTGTTTTTTGTCTTTCCTTTCGTTATTCTTTGTTATCGCTACTCCTATTACTTGTCTTGGAGGTTATGTATAAAGGGCGGGCACCTGTGGTACTTAAAGAAAGAGTTGATTTAATGTATTTCTTCAAGTGTGAATTTTTTTTTATTTATTGCATGAGCCTTGGCGGAGGTATGCGGTCTTGAGGTGTTTATTTGTGTTGTTGTTGTTGTTGTTGTTGTTTTTCATTCTCCTTTCATTTTTTTTTTTTTTTTATCATATTGATTTTCGTCTCGTTTTAAATCTTTATTTTCTCCTTCTTTTCTCTTTTTATCGTCATCATCACATTTTTTTTTTTCTTTCCTCTTATCCTTCTTTATTTTTCTTCATCATAATTATAATTATTGATGAAAATTATAATATAATGATAATAATAATTGGGGTAATGATAGTAGTATTGTCAACGATGATAGTAATAATAATGTTTTATAATATTAAGGAATAAAATAATAATGATAATAATTACGATGTTATTAATAATTACAATTGTGATGAAAATTAAATATGTGATGATAGTTGTGTAATAATAACAATGAAAGTAATAGTTGTTGTTATTATAATAATGTATGTGTTATAAATAAATGTATATCATATAATCAATAATAGTCATAATGATATGGAAAATGATGATAAATATAATTAATATAATAGTGATTTAAAAAAATTACATTATCAATTATAAAGGTAATAATATAAATGAATATTATAAATGATATGATATGATAGTAATAATGATAGTAATAATAATAATGAAAAAATAATGAGATAGTAATCATCTCCATAATAATTGCTTGCACTAATATGGTGATGATTTTTGAAAATGATAATGATGATTATGATATAAATGATGATAACAATAAAGATGATGATGATGATAACAAGACCAATGATAATGATGATAATTATAAACAATAACAATAATGGTGATAATGATGATGATAATGATAACAATAACGATGATGATGAAGATGATAACAATAACAATGATAATGATGATAATAATTATAAACAATAAGATAAATGATGATAATGATGATGATAATTGATAAAAAATAACGATGATGATGAATAAAAATAACGATGTTATGAATACGATGATAATAATAACCATGATAATAATGATAATAGGGGGGTATTAACACTACCAAAAAAATAATGAAAAAAACAACAAAATAACAATTATAACAACAACGCCAATGGTTATGAAAACAAAATTCCTTTACAAAAAAAGCGATACAACACCAATGAGACAGTGAGACGCAATAACCGGATTTAAACCGAGTTTTTCCTGGGAGTGGGATCCGGTTCAGTTAAAAAAAAAAAAAAAAAAAAAAAAAAAAAAAAAAAAAAAAGGTAAAGGGTTACACAAGAGAAAATTGTGAAATGAAAAGTTCCATTTTTTTATATATAATTGTATTTTTTTCATCATTTTTTTTTTTTTTTTTTTTTTTTTTTTGGTATATTTCGGGAAGGCTTCTCAACACGGAGGGAAAAAGTGACTTACCTTTGACCTTCGAGAGGTCAGTCACTCCAGAGCTGATAAGCAGGATGAGGATAGGATGGGGATGGGGATGGGGAAGGGGATGGGAATTGAGAATTGATGGGATGGGGATGAGGATGGGATAGGGATGGGGGATAGGGGAGGGGAGGTGGGGATGGGGAGGGGGAGGGGGAGGGGATAAGCAGGATGAGGATAGGATGGGGATGGGGATAGGGGAAGGGGGATGGGGATGAGAATAGGATGGGATGGGGATGAGGATGGGGATAGGGAGGGGGAGTGGGGGAGGGGGAAAGGGGGAGGGGGATAAGGCAGGATGAGGGATTANCAAAATAATTTAGAGCTTACATGCGCAAGGTAATGATGCAAAAAATTCCCATGTCTAGAAAACTGAATAAAGAGAGCTAGAAAATCCAAAACCAACACCAAGTCATAATAAAAGAGAAAGAGAGAGAGCACGCGCGCATGTGTGTGTGTGTCTAATTTTTAATAATTTTACCTTATTTTATATAGTATGGAAAAAGCTAAGGCATTTTTTCCTTTTCCTCTTCTTTTTTTTAACGTTTTCTCTTCTCCATATCTGTGCATGCGTTGTACCAGCTTCGTTGATAGCGACTATATGATGAAAAAACATCATGATGAATGTTGTTTGCCATATCTTTAAAAGATGACTCTCCTGAAAAGCAACGTGTTGTAAATTGAAAGATGTTTTCCGAAGCTTTGGCTGCACAGCTCTTGAGTGGCGTCAGCGAGGACACCTGCCACCCAATGTGAACAATATGCAATATATATATATATATATATATAATATATATATATATATATATATATATATTTATCTATTTATTTATATATGTACTTACATACCTATACACACACACATTTATATATATTCATACATATATACATATATATACATATATACTAATAATCAATACCTCTCTCTGTCTATATACTTTTATATATATCTATATATATCTATATATGTACACATAGATAAATAAACAAATGAATACACACACACATACATATTTATACATGTATGTATAAATGTGTGTATAAAAACAAACTTACCTACCTGAGAGAGAGAGATAGAGAGAGAGAGAGAGAGAGAGAGAGAGAGAGAGAGAGAGAGAGAGAGAGAGAGAGAGAGAGAGAGAGGAGAGAGAGAGAGAGAGGAGAGAGAGAGGAGGAGTTAGGGAGGGAGGGAGGGAGGAAGGGAAAGGAGGAAGGAGGGAGGAAGGGAGGGAAGGGAGGAAGGAAGGAGAGAGAGAGGAGAGGAGAGAAGAGAGAGAGAGAGAGAGAGAGAGAGAGAGAGAGAGAGAGAGAGAGAGAGAGGGTCGAAGTAGGCTCCTTCTCTCTACCAAGGAACTTCTCAAATTTTGATGCGACTCCATCTCCTGTACTGATTCTTTACTGGTCTTATTTTGGCTACAAGATGTCAAGAAATAGCTACAGTAAGAGATAAACAATTTTCCATTTCAAAATACACACCGAAAGAGTAAAAAAGCACAAGCTTCCATGAAGAAAAGAAAGAAAAAAAATCTTCCACCTTCCTCGAGTCATTACTCCTAACCGTTCTACTTTTCCTTTCTCCTCCCTTTCTTCAGGAAATACAAGTGACTTTCATTTTCCTGCTCGCCCGAAGCGTGTGTGGGGATGGCGCTGCAACAAGAGCAACGGGTTTCTCTAATTTCCCGTTCGCCTGGATACTGGCGGACGTTTCTGCTGACCCGGGGATGCTGACGGCGCATACTGACATCTTTTATCGACCTGACGCTTGGGAACATTGCGTTTATCTTCGTAAAAAAATGAAATTGAAGACTAACTCATCCGGTGCATATTGTTCACATTGGGTGGCAGGTGCGCACCCCTCGCTGACGCCACTCAAGGGCTGTGCTGCCAACGCTTGGGAAAACATCTTTCAGTTTGCTACATGTTGCTTTTCACATAAGTCAGGTTTAAAGATATGGCAAACAACATTCATCATATGTTTGTAATATAGTCTCAAGCAATGAAGCTGGTACAACGCATGCACAAATATGGAGAAGAGAAAACTTGTTAAAAAAAAAAAAAGAAAATGCAAAAGAAAAAATGCCCCAGCTTTTTCCATACTACATAAAATAAGGTAAAATTATTAAATATTAGACACACACACACGCTCTCTCTCTTTCATTATGACTTGGTGTTGGTATTGGATTTTCTAGCTCTCTTTATTCAGTTTTCTAGACATGGGAATTTTTTGCATCATTACCTTGCGCATGTAAGCTCTAAATTATTTTTTCAAGTCTTGAGAAAAAGAAACAAGTGCTGTTAGCACTGACTGGTAATACTGCTTGAACATGAATTAGCAGATAGTTACCAACTGCCTAATTGATAACGATAAAAGATTAACAAAAGCAAAAAAAGGTATGGAAAGATAATATAAGGGTAAGAGGTGGCCGACGCAATTTTGAAAGAAAATATTTAAACCTGCTATTTAAATTATCTCAGAAAATTGTTAATATCCCGTTGAAATCACAGGGTACTAACTCTTCCCTGATTTTCGTTAGAGTTTATCTCAGGTACGAACTGCCATTGATGTCCCGAAAGACGAAAAAAGACGAAAGGTTTAATTACAAATAACCTTTAATAGAATATTTGTTTATTGCAACTATAACGACATTATCTTCGGCCTGCAAAGAATTATTTATAAACAATCCAATTGTAAGCATCTCCAGTCACTGTAGCTGAAGAATATTTCCCGTTTTCTATTGTGCGCGTTGAAGGGTAAACTCAAGTTTTTTTTGTGTTGCAGCTGTTCTATTGCTGGAGTACTTTGCTCTGCCGAGATTGTCCCACGACATTGTCCTCCAGTCCTTCATACTTCAAGATGGCGTCAGCGATATCGTCCAGGATCTGTGTCATGGAATCCAATCCACGGCTGAAAGGAGAAAGATTTTTGTTTAGTCTGATGAGTGTAAATGGATGGCTATAAACATCGATCTGATTTATGACAGACAATATAGAGACATAGTTAAATAGATTGGTAGACAGACGAAGAGAGAAAGAGGAAGAGAGGAAGAGAGGGAGGAGACGAAGAGAGAGAGGAGAGAGGGAGAGGAGGGAGGGAGGGAGGGAGGGAGGGAGGGAGGGAGGGAGGGAGGGAAGGGAGAGAGAGGAGAGAGAGAGAGAGAAGAGAGAGAGAGAGAGAGAGAGAAAGAGAGAGAGAGAGAGAAACAGAACTAAACTAAAGAAAAGATCTAACAATAAAGAAAACTTTAATTAGCTGATTCGAATGAAGTGAATGGATCATAGACATTCATATGAGAAGAATGCCAACAGTAATACTGACTTCAGTTGCCATTAACATGACAGCAGTAAACAATAAAAATAAGGCCCTTGGCACAGGACAAGGACACTCGCAAAGCGAACAATGTATGGGAAAAGCTGAGGTATTGTTCCTTAGCATTTTTGTTTTCTTATCTAATCCATGTTTGTGCGTGCATTGTACCAGCTCCGTTGCTTGTAAATATATGAAAAAGCTATCATAATGAATGTTATTTGCATATCTTTGAAAAACGATTTCATATTGAATGTTATATGCCAAATCTTTGAAAAATGATATCATAATGAATGTTGTTATTTGAGATAACAAAAAGAAAAAAAAGCCAGTGCCGAAGGCCTCACCCGCCGCGGACGTAGGGATTGAGGCCCAGCTGGTCGCGCTGGTCCCACACCTTCGCCGCCGTCGTGACCAGGCTCCTGCCGTAGGACGTGTGCCCGGCGGCGTCCCCGGTGTAGGAGGCGTACCCGTAGCTCAGGAAGTCGAAGAGGAACACCGCCCCGACCACGAGGAGCGTCAGGAGCCCGAAGGTCTGGAGGTCGAGGGACTTCACGAGGCTCTTGATGTCGAAGCCGAAGGTCCTCAGAGTCTCGTCCACCTGGTACATGAGCGTCCCGAGGGGGGCGGCGGCGGCGGCGGCGGCGGGCATGGCGGCGCTGGAGAGAGGTCGTGTTAGGGTGAAGAGTGTACCGAAAGGGTTGAAGTAATGGCGGCGAATCTGATATCATTAGGTCAAGTCTGGCCTTAGTTGTGTTTATAAAGAATTAATATCGATATTGATTCTGTTGATAGGAACTCAGTAATGATAATAATTGTATAATCACGCATATCATTGGAGAAAGAAAAAGAAGGAATTATTCATCAATGTATTACATTACATAATTTGAATACCTATGAGTGAAAATTATTTCTCGAAGAATATGGTTTTAGAAGAGCAGAATATATACGTTTGACTTACCTTTAACTTTTAAATAAACAGAACGAGAAGGAATGACAAAGCAATAGATCCGAATCTCACGGTTCGTTGAAGGTAACTGATGCCTGACTCAGCCTGAGTCCGCCTTATATACCCCCACACAATGAAAGGATTTTGGCGGGAAATCCTCATCCGGGTCTCTGGACTAAATATCTTCTCAAGGTCGAAGAACATGGTGAAGAGGAGGCTCGAGATGGACTGTCAAAATATATTCGACCTTTCTGATATTTCAAGATCTTGATAGATATAAGAGGTGGATACGATTTTTGACATTTTTATGGACTTTATAATATACGCAGGATAACTAAATTTGGCATATGTTGATACCCCAAGGTTACATAAAATATTTTGCACATTTTCTCATTATCCATATATCTATCTGTCTATATATATATATATATATATATATATATATATATATATATATATATATATATAATACATATATACATGCATACATATAAATATAGTTATATAGATAGATAGATAGATAGATAGATATACACACACACACAATACACACAAACACACACACACACACACACACACACACACACAAACACACACACACACACACACACACACACACACACACATTTAGACGAACAGAATTGCAGAAAGGAGATGAAAGGAAAGAAAGCTCGTGGTGGTCAACGGAAAATATATTTCCATGATTTCTATTCCAAATGCAAAAATGGAAGTGGCGAATAGAAAGTCGAAGAATGGACGCCACTAACTCATTTTTCGCCACAACGCGTCGGATACGGCAAGAACGATGACGACGATATGATATATGTAACCCAGCTATATCTATATCTAATTACCATATGATACATATATATAATCTTACATGTTTGTCACATACGTATCTTCACACATACATATGCATATACGCCTGACCATTGCTTCCTCTGTTCATTCCTCTCTTCTTGCCTCACCAGACATTAGAATGTTGTGTTGTCTATCTCTTCCAGAAGAGCTATGTATTGTTGTAACGCTTCCTTGTTCATCACCGTTCGTCACATGCTAACCACGTGACTTGATGCGATCTTTAGACCATTGACAGGAGATCAGGCAGACTCCCTGCGGGAGCCAGGAGCAACACCTCGCCCGAGGAGCTGCCGCACTCCAACACCTTATCCAGTAAAGGAGTCAAGACATCTTGGTTGTCTACCTTATACCCTAAGCTCGCCATCTACCAACTCTTGTGGGACCCAACATTTAGGCTCTTACTATACATTTATGTGTGTGTGTGTGTGCGTGCGTGCGTGCATGCGTGTTTTTTTTCTGTAAACACGCATACAAGTATACATTACGCTTTTGACATCCCTTCTTTCCTGTCCTTCTCTCTCTCTCTCTCTCTTTCAACTAGATAGGATATCTATCAGCAAATACAGAAAACTTATAGTACATTACCTGAAATTTTCCAATAGCAAACGTTACTTTCTATGATTAGTGGCACAGATATTATAGATAAAACTTATACAAGACTTTGATGATTACTGTTAAAGAATAATGCAGAAATATGCAATGATATAAGACGAAAGATATTACTAACGAAGTATCCAAGTAAATATGAAAAGCAAGACCTTCTTACCATTCAACATCTACCGTCCTTTTCGGTCTTCTACGTGAAAGCAAAAGCGACCCAGGTATTTCCCCGGTTAGACCATGTCAAGGTGAAGGTGGGGAACCGGCGCAGAATTACCTTAGTCAAATATTAATTTCAAATTTTTCTTATTGATAAGGAAATAAATATCTTTATATGATATGAAGCGCACGCATGACAGGTAAAAGAAATGAGTGAAGTGGAATGCCTGTTTCTTACGGAGCGGCAGAGAAGGCGGTTGCCAGGAAAAACTGGGACAGGACATTGCCGGTGAACCTAACTGTTCGCCTCTTCGTTATGCAATACAGCATCTATTTTTTTTTCATTTTCCGAAACGTTGTACACTATACGCTCTTTTAGCTGTTTCTCTTCTTCCTATCCACTTTTATCTTGTTCTTATCTTTTTCTCGCCAACTCTCCATCTCTTCTCCTCCGTCACGTCTTTTTATCCCTCCATTCTGTTCCTTTCTCATCCATTCCCCCCCTCCTCTTTCTTTATCTTCCCGTCTGCTTTCTCCTTTTTCTTCTCATTCATCCTCCCTCCCCCTCTACTCTCCTTTCTCTTTTTCTTCTCTCTCTTACTCCCTCTCCTCCCCACGCTTTCTCCTCTCCTCCTTCCAACTTATTTCCCAATATTTCGTTTTCTCTATATTCCCCTTCACTCTTTTCTCCCATGTTTCTTTTCTTTCCCCTCCCCTTTTCGCTCTGGTAATTCATGACATATTATCTCATCCCTAAGGGAAATAAGTCTTGAATTTCAGCCACGATAATATAGCCCAAGAACCGTGGCCAGAAGGTGCGGCTTCACGGACTTCCCGCCGAAAGTAAAAGTATTTCTGGTGGCATCACAGCTTAGGGAGAACTGGCGTATTTTTTCTTCTTTTTTCTAGTATTTCACTATAATAATGGGTAAATATATATTTTTTTAATTTATTTTTATTTGAATAAATAAGAACATAATACCAACTTTATATATATAGCTCGTGAATGATGGAGTAACAAAACTGAGAAAAAGGTAAGAAATCGAATTTGTGGGGCATTGACTCTTTCCAGGTCAGCCGGATGTGACTGTCTCAAGGAAGTGTCCTTCAAATATCATGTTACAGTCTTTGTATTTTTTTTATATTCTTTATTCTTTATTAGTAAAACTTATCCATAAAACAGCACGCTACTCTAAAAGTTAAACCTGTGATGGCGAAATTAAATCGATCTCTAGAGAAAAGACATACGAAACTAAAGCAACTTAAAGATCTTCATAGACTCGGAGACTCTTCCATGCGCGATCATCTGATAATTTCGTGTAGATAATTTGGTTAAAGGACAAAAAAGACTTGAACAGTTCCCTGTACTGCATAACACCTCTACCAACACCATTTTATAATATTTTTTTTTCAAATCTATTTTTGCTACGACAAATTCATAAATCAGCTACAGAGATAAACTCTCCATACAACTAAGAACCTTTTCCAAGATGTCTAAAAGAAAACGGATCTAGAACTACCATAGCTGATGACGTCATCTGCGGTGACGTCAAACCCGTGAACTTGAAAATCGAGATCTTAGAAAACTAGAGTGTATTGACCCGCGGTAAACTGTACCATATTAACAACTACAAGAATGAGATTGATGATAATAACGATCACAATGAAGGTAAAATAAAATAACTGAGACATAAGAGGGTAGCGAACAGGGGTTACTCGGCGACCATACCATTATGTATGTGTGTGTGTGTGTGTGTGTGTGTATGTGTGTGTGTTGTGTGTGTCATAAATATATATATATATATATATATATATATATATATATATATATATATATATATATATATATATATATACATATTCACATATATACATTTATATCTATATCTATCTATCTATCTATCTATCTATCTATCTATCTATATGCATATCTTTTACACACATATATACATATATATAAACACACACAATAATAAAAATAACAACAATTATGATAATGATAATGATAGTAATATGAATATCAATGGCAATAACAAAAACACTAACAATAATGATAATAAAAATGATAATGACAATAATAATAACAACAGTGATTGTTATCATGATAATACTAATAGCACTACTACTACGAATGACGGTGATAATGATAGTGATAACAATAATAATGCTGATAATAATGATAACGATGATAATGATGATAAGGATTATGGTAATAATAATAATGACCATAGTAATGATAATGCTGACATAATGATAATAACAATGACAAAAATAATGATAATGATATTAGTAATGATAATAATAGTAGTAGTTATAGTAGCAGTAGTAGTAATAATAATGATAATGATGATGATGGGGATGATAATAATAATGATGATAATAATTGTAATGATAATGATGATAATAATTGTAATAATAATGCTGATAATAATTGTAATAATACTGATGATAATAAAATAATACTGATGATAATAATTGTAATAATAATGATAATAATAACAATTGTAATAATAATGATGATGATAATAATTATTATAATAATAGCAATAATAGTAACAGTAATTATAATATCAATAACAATGGTGAGTATAACATCAATTATATTAAAATCGATAACAATAATTATAGTACATATGATAATGATAATGATGACAGTAATATACTTAAGAATAATAATGACGATAATGATAAAGATAATGAAAATCATAATGATGATAATAGTAATGATAACAATGACGATAATGATAATAATGATAAGAGCAAAAACAATGATAATAATGATAATGATATTGATCATGATGATAATGACAATGGTAATAACTATAATAATGATAACAATAACGATGATGATATTAATAATAATAACAATAACAATAACAAGACCAACAGTGATAGCAGTAATAAGATAATAGCAATAACAAGAATAATGATAATAATAACAATAATAATAGTAACAGTAATGATAATAGTCATAATAACAACAAAAATGATGATGAAAAGAATGATAATAATAATAGTGAAAATGATAATGATAATGGTAATAATTATGATAATAATGATGATAGTGATATCAATGACATTAATGATAATGATACGAACAATTAGAATGATAGCAGCAATAATAATCATGGTAATCATAACAACAACAGCACAAAAGTGTTAATCATATTAATAATAGTGATAGTGATCATAATAACAGCAAGAACAAAAACAATGATAATCATAATATCAATAACAGAGACTGACACTGTCAAATAACGCGTTGTATAGTACGATCACTAAATTAAAACAGATATGAGGCATATTATTACTATTACTATTATTTACATCATCATCTTTTTTTTTCTTTTTTTTTTACTTTCCTCTTGAATGATGGCTTTGTAGAGCGTCTAACCGTTGTGGGAGAACAAAGTTAATTGTGAGAAAAGTTAAGAAGATACATACGCAAGAGAAGCAGTTGATTTGCTCAGTAGAATTA